TATCGATTGAGGGCCTCGGATGGGCCAGCACCTGGGCATTTGTTATGTCATTATTTCTCCCCGGAGCCCTCAGAGTGGAGGTGACAACTTCATTTCACAGATGAGGAGATTTAGCTTCAAAAATGCTTAGTAGCTGCTCAAGGTCACATACCTGCTAAGCGACAGATTTGAATCATCAGGCTCCTCACCCCAGAGCCCCTGCCCCTCATGCCAGAGACGCTGAGCTCCTTGGCCGGCTGCAGCCCCTGCAGCGCCAGTGTTTCGAGCTCCCCAGGTGGCCACTGAGCTGTCTGGGCTGGGAACCACTGGATGGATCAGCCTCCTGTAGCTCGGAGGTTTTATTCCACTTTGCATCACAGACGCCTGGGGAGCGTGTGTGGGCGGGGAAGCCGCGGATCTCCTCGACAGAGAAAAATAATAATCAATTTGGTTATACACAAAACCTGCGTACGTCTTCAGGAAATCATGGAAGTTTTGGAGCTTGTACGAGGATTCCACAAAGGGTCATGAACTCAAATTAAGGCTGAGTTTATATGTAAATCCTTGCCTCCAAGTCCGTGGCCGCATGTGGGTGTTCGCTGAGCCTCGAAAAACGACGATTTCCGGGCCCCACCCCAGATCTACGGATGGGGCATCACTGGACCCGTTGTCCCGGAGCAGGTGCCCGAATGATTCTTGTTGTCCACCCAGAAGACAGCCTGAGGACTGGGTTCAGGGACCACGGCTCTAAGTGGTCCCCACACAGTGGCTGGGAAGTCATTCCTGTCACTTCTACCTACGTAACTCAGGGCAGCTACTTACCTCCCGAGCCTTCTGTTTGTCTTCTGTCAAATGGGAAGAACAACGGTCCCTGCCTCACAGGGTTGACAAGGGGCTACGCAGAGTACGCCACGGTAGGGGTCAGCACAGCCTCTGGCACATAAATATTCGCTAAGTGTTTATCGCTAATTCCACAGTGTTCTTTTATCATCTGTGTAATGAATCTCTGTAAATGGTCTCTTGGTGATAGAAGGGGGACCAGAATGTAATTTCTAGCAGACTGTCAATGCAAATACATGAAAGGAAGAAAAAAGTCAAAGTTTATTAAACATGAAGGATAACAGATACAGAACGGGTTTGCATCTAACAGCGTAAACCACACCACGTCATGGTACACAGTTGAAATGACCTCGGGTGAACTTTCACCTGCTGAGTAGATGCCATCTTTGTGGTGTTGCCAAAAAGACAGTGGTAGATTAGTGTGATGTTTGGTAAGGAGCTCCAAAATGGCAGATTTTTATGTCTCGACTTAAATATTTACACACACGCGCTCTCCTGAATACATGTGGTCCTCTGTGCAATGTCCAGACTTTAGTTGCCAAGTCCTGCTCATCAAGGTCTAGGCTAAGGCTCGTTTTTAAAATGGCATTATCAGTCGTAGAGGAAATCTTCAGGAGACCTTGGCCTCCACAGACGGGGCCTAGCTGCTCTCAGCAGGGAGCTGGCAGACAGACAGCAGGTGTCTACCCAAGGGGCGCAGAGGACCTGGTATCCAGTCCCCTGCAGCCGGGTTAAATCTGGGCCTCCACACCCCCCACACAAGCAGGCCAAGGGAGCCTGCCTTGGGATCACTCTGATTAACTCTGATAAAGTTTGAGTTTTCCTAAAAGGAACATTAGGGGAAAATTAGATAAACTACTGGGAAAAACCAAAAAAACATAACATTGCATTTTACAGATGTCTGTTGTTTTACCAGTGGGACAGTGGAGAAGAGATCCACTTAAAATGCTTCCAAAAATAGACCCAAGACCATGCAAATGCACATTTAGAAGTACTCTGAGCTCCTCCACAAGACCAGTGCGTTGACAGGAAGCTCTGGGTTATCTACATAGCTTCCTACACAGCCAACGCAGTCACCTCTGCGCTCCCCTGGAACCCAGAGCCTCCTGCTTGAAGCAACGGCTTTGCAGGTGCCTGCCACACTTGCAGATGAACAGCCTATCACATCTCGCCCAATGTGGGGTTTCAAAAGGCGGCCACTTTCTCAAGAGGAGCCCTCCCACTCCCTACCCGCCTCCACAGGTAGCCCCAGCAGAAGGCCAGGGTGATTTGTTTTTGCCTTCCTTTGCAAGTCTAGTCGAAAGAGACGATGATGCGACCTTCTCAGGAGGTCCTGGACCACTCATCCCCAGTCGTATCTAAGTGATGTTGGCACGATAGGATTTGGATTCATTTTTAATGGCCAAGTAATTAATCTCTGAAAGATGCTGATGATGAAAAGGTGAAAAATGACAGCAGGGCTCATAATAGCTGCCGTCTGCAGAGCTCCTTCCACTCTGGTTGATCCAAGTCGTTCCAAACCGGGCCATGCCCTCCCACGCCGTTCAGCAGCACTGCCGTATTTGCTAGTTAACTGCCCTGGACAGAAGGCAGCAAGTCTAGGAGTGAGTGTTCATGTGTGTGGTGACAATGACCTACATATAAGGCACCTGTACAGACTCCAAAGTTAAAAAATGTTAAGACGAGGTAGGTTTCTAAAACCTTTCCTGGCACCTGAAAGAATACGTTTTATTATGATCTTTTTATTTCTTCTGCAGAAAACATTGGTGATGCTCATTTGATACAAACAATCTAATTTAATACAAACCAGTGCTCAAATACAGGTGTTTTTTTTTTTCAGCTACCATTTTATACTGCAGTGAATTTGGGTGGTCCAGGGTACAATCCCTTCAACATGTCTCCTCTTAAATATGTTATTTGTCTCTGCTTTAGTGAATACTGACTGCCATTTAACAACTCCGTGGCAATTAGCCTCTTTACCAAGAAAAAGGCCCGTCCCAGGCTCAATGGTGTCTCCCTGAGCATCACATCTGCAGTTCTGCTGGTGATCGCCACAGGTCTTGTTTGTTTCTTTCCTCTGTTCTTTACCTGAGCAGTGCATTCAGTTCCCACACTCTTCCTTCTCACACTGTAATCTGTAGCTCACGACAAAATGAATACCTAGCAGGGAGCTCCTGGCCAGGTTTCCCAGGACTATCACACCACAAGACAACTGCTGAAGGACTGACGAGGAGACCGCAGGTCCCCCAAGAATCAGATACTCGGGAGGCAGGAAACTAGGAAATCCCAAGGATGAAAGGGTATTTTAATCTAGCACAACATGTTTCTTTGCATTAACAGCAGAATCTCTTGACATTACACAACTCAGTGAAACGAAAGAAACAATCTTGCAAGTCAGAACATCCATCAAATCATAAGCCACACACGCAGCACCAAGACCAACGGTACACTGCCTGAGATGCTCGCGCCCACGGGGGAGAACAGAATTGTTTGGGGTGTTTGCAGTGAGATTCCATTCTAGGAAGTCATAATTTTGAAGTGAGCATTTTTGTGGCAGATGCTTTTCCTGAAAAACACGGTAGCATCCAATAAATATTTGACTAACATCCATTTTGTGCTTTTGGGTGACGTTAACTGACTTCTTTCCGAGACCTAATAGGAGACAAGACATCTCCGTACATATTGTGGAGTAGGATTCATCACCGCAAACCTCGATACAGTCATAAAATTTCAAAGCAGAGAACATGCTGATGTGTCAGTGGTAGGCTTAAAATATTAAAGATTTCAAAACCCCCGAGCCCTTCTTCTCTGTACAACATGGACGAATATATATCTTTGCTCTATAATTTCAAAACATGGAATAGTTATCATTTTCTCTTTGCTATATATAATATATGTCTTCCAAAATACATTGTCAGTATTTATATCTGAAAAATACTGTACAAAAAAGAACTTCCTATAATCACTCTGTATAAACATTAGACAATTTAATAATCTCTCCTTTTGGTCTATAGTAAACATTATTTAAACTGATTGGATGAACCACAGTTTGTGACAACACCATCCCCCTCTGAGATACACCAGTGTCTTTTACATTCAGTTTTCAGAAGTCCACTTTATAAAAGCACAGACGTTCAAAAGCAAACAGAATAAGAAACGTAAGCTCCAGAATCATTAATTTATGAAGCATTCAAAAAGGACACCGCTAGGAAAAGGGATCTCACAAAACACCGACTCATTAACTTAACCGATTTTTAAAAACAGCAAGGTATAATTCACAAAAATAGATATATTACAAAAAATGGGGAAAACGAAATCTTAAGTAATCGAGTTGTTCTGAATATCAAGAGGGCTATGGAAAAAGTTAACTATAAAAGGGGGAGGGGTAAGGGAGAAGGGAGAGCACAAAACCAAACATACCAAAGCCAAAAACTGTTCCAAGATGCTTTTTTTTTTTTGGCTCTTATACTGAGAAATGAACCCCTCCTTCTTTTGGACCCGGCATTTCCCTCTGCTTCCCTGTCCTGGGGATGTTCAGGCCATGCTCAAATGCATTACTGTAATTTTTGATTTTTGAAAAGAGGGTGAAATCCTTAGGGAGGGAAAATATCCTACGTCCACTAGTAATACTCAGGCAGCATGCGCTAGCGTACAATAGGGTTATTGCTTTAGGTACAGACAGTGCGGAAACACGCTGTTCTACGTAGTACTTACTTATCGGGGGTTGGTGGAATTCAAAGGAAACTTAGTAGATAGCGGTAAGTAAATATGAGATCTAATCCATCTAAACAGCACTTGAAATCTGAAGATTAACCACCCAAACTGAAAATACGAGGAGAGCAACCTGTAACTGAGGAGCGAGGTGGAGCAGCGCTCAGTCCCTTTGTGCACCGTGTCAGCGTGGTAACTTACAGACTGAACAGAAGCAGAGCTTGTCGTCTTGGAAACGGAGAGCTACTGTTTTCCCAGGGCCCTTTGTGGTGGCTCCAAACCCGGGGTCCTGGGCAAGCAGTTGAGGGCGAACAAGACGCCACGTTGGAAGGGCGGGAGTGGGGAAGAGGGAAGGGGCAGGAAAACCCACGAGAGGTCCCCATAGTCCGTAAAAACTTGGCACCTTTCTGTTTCTGGAGCTAAGTGGGGGTGGGAGGGTTCTCTGACCGTGGCAAGTGCCCAGGAGCGCGCGCGCGCACCACCCACCACGCGCGTGAGCGCAGGCACGCCGCCGCGGGGCCGTGGTGCTGGGTGCTGCCTCTGGTAAAGTGCTGACGTCGGGAAGGCCGGTTCGCGCGTGGTGCTGTCAGACGGGAAACGAAGCGTCCATCGAGTCCAAAGCCAGCCCCCTCCGAAGGCCACCCTACAGCGGCCCGTGCCTGGCCTCGTACTTGGCCAGAATGTTCTTGCACTTGCCCAGCTCCTTGCGCAGGTCAGCCACCTCCTGGCGGAGGGCCGAGTTCTCCTTCTCCAAGAACGAGGCCCGGATGGCGATCTGGTTCTCCTTCAGCCGCCGGGCGTCGCGGGAGCGCTTGGCTGCCATGTTGTTCTTTCTGCGCCGTGCCCAGTACTTGTCATCCTGCTCGGTAGTTACAGAAGGAAGAAAAACAAGATATTAGATTTCGGCAGGGCGGAGGCTCGGCCGGGCGCGGGCAGGCGCTGCGGCACCAGCCCGGGTGTCTGAGCGCGTGTCTCCTTCCCGACCATCTGCACGTCGGAGAGAGCAGTCCCTGGTCCACGGCTCCCTTCCAGGGGCGGGGACCGACTTGTCACAACACGCTCCTAACCCTCTGCCCAGCAGAGTATGTGCCCGGAGGAGCGGCCAGAGGCCGCGCGGAAACAAGTGGCTCTCCGCGCGCCCTAAATTGCATCCCAGATTCCTCTACTCTTTCTGCTGAACATTTTACTTTAGGAATCCTTGTCTTCCGTGGCACTCACATGCTTTTTGATCGAAGTTGCTACACAGGTTGTTGGAAGGCAGCTGGGCAATATCTGTGGACTATTGAAATGCACACACCACTGTCCTAGCAGCTCCGTGTCTAGGACCTCATCCTGTAGCAGTGGCCCTGGGTGGGCCCACAACACGGGCACGTTTTCACTGCAGCGCAATTCCCATCTGCAGTGGGAAAAGGCTGGGGAGGAAACCTAATTATCGGTAGAGACTTAATAACTACATAATGATGGAGGATATTCGGCAGCCGTTAAAAATAATGATCCAGTTGAACCAGAAAGATGTTCATGATGTACCACTGTGCAGGTGGAAACAATAGTAACCCGTAGATAAACAGGTATGGCCTCCTCCCACTTTGGTTAAAACGTCGTAAGATTAGGTATTCATAGAAAGAGGCCCAGAAGGAGTTATGCCAGGCTCTTAAAAGTGATGCTTTTATAAGGGGGGGGGGGGGTTCAAGGAAGGAGGCCAAGGAGAGAGGGAGGATCTTTAACTTTTTATTTTATAGCCTTCTTAACTATTAGAATATGATATAACGGGCATGTACACTTCGGTAATTAAAACAGAAATTAAAAAAAATAAACTTCTACCTGGCACTGATCAACACGCTCATATTGGTAGCTAGCATTTAAATAATTTATTCCAATTTCCTGTTTAACTGTTCTCTACCCCTTAATTGGCCTGAGTATGTTTAACTGTGGTCAATAAGAAAGCAATCCTTCTTCCCCATCCCCCCATCGCCGCTCCCCTTGCCAAAAGGAAGGAAAAGGTTCCTCGGAAGACTGGAAAATGCAGGCCTTCTTTTAGACCTTCCTGAATGATTTACGGCGCCACCTGGTGAACTCAGCTACCACCTTATTTTTCAACAACTTGCAAGAGCAAATCCCTCGATCCTAACAAGCCTAATAATACCTGCAGTTACATGCCACCCAGAATAAGTGGGTGAGACCAGTTCTCACCCTCTGCCAGGATTTCAAGAGGCAGTTGGCACTGGGGGAAGGTCACATGGGTTGGGGCCAAAGCTGCAAGCCAGGTCCAGGGTCAGTGGTCTTCCCCATACCTGCCCATGACCCCCGCAGACACCTGCCCTGCACAAAGCCCAAGTGTGAGATGGAAAGCATATGCAGCCACCTTCTGTCTGTGGTCCAAAAGCTGGGACTCCGATCTTATTTACAAAGCACTTTCAGCTTTCTAAACATTTTATAATACCATGTAACATCGTGCAAACAGGGATCTTCCTAGTAGCTGGCACCACACTATTCTTAGAGAGGAGGGAGCTTGGAGCAGGTGTGCACGGGCTGTTGGTGGGATTTGTGGCTGTGTTTTCAAAGGGAGCAGGGAGCCAGAGGATGGGGAGAGGCCAGGCGCTGGGCGAGGGGCTGGGAGGAGCTGGGGCAATGAGGGGCTTCCCCGGGGTGAACGGGCCCCAGTGAAGCCTCCAGTTCTGAGGAAGTTGTTTGTGTTCCTTTGATGTCAGCCCCAATTCTGTCCCCCTTGGTGGTGTCAGTAAGTCTCCATACTCCTCCGTGCTCCTGGGAGTGTGGCTTCCAAGGTCAATGGAAAGAGGGGCTGACTTAGGATGCATGAGAACCTGCACCCAGGGAACAGGAGCTTGGGAGGTGATGCAGGACATGAGGACAAGCCCCTGGGAAACTGTAGAAGCTGTGTGTGTGGTGGGGGGACAGATGGGGGAGGAAACCATGGACTTGGTGGTCTGTGACCAGGTCATAGGGCAGGGAGTCACCAGCTGACCTCAGTGTCACAACCAACTTCTCTGTCCCTTAGAGCTCGTCTCGCCTCTAAGGTGTTTTCCAGCCTCACCTGCCCACACATGCAGATGAGGTAGGAAAGGTGAGGAGCGGGGCGGCGGGAACGGGAATGGAGCAGAGGTCGCAGAAGACAGGAATGACGGAAGGACTGTCCTGGCCTAGAAAAGCCAGGTGCTGCCCTGGCCGGTTTGGCTCAGCGGTTAGAGCGTCGGCCTGCGGTCCTGAGAGACCCGGGTTCGGTTCCCGCTAAAGGCGCGTACCTCGGTTGCAGTTTGTCCCCGGCCCTGGTCGGTCATGCGGGTGGCAGCCACTCGATGTGTCCCTTTCACGTCGATGTTTCTCTCTCTCTCTGTTCCTCTCTCTCCCTCCCACTCTACCTGAACAAGAAATGGAAAAATATCCTCCGGTGAGGATTAAAAAAAAAAAAAAGAAAAGCCAGGTGCTGCCCTCTGGGTGGTTGGGGAGGCGAAAGCAGGGCACTGAGTGGGGCTGATAAATGTGGCACTCCATCCCGTCTCCTTCCCGTCTACCTCCCAGGTGCTGATGCCATCTGGCTGCCCAGCAAGGTCCCCCTCAGTCCTGTCCTGTCATCCTGCTGAGGGCCTCGTGTCTGATGCCTCCTCCCCTCACCAGTCATGTCCTGACAGTCAACATCCCCTCGAGGGTAAGAAACATCGGTACCGGCTCACCTTGGAATCCCCAGCCCGGTACAGGGCTTGGGCACAACAGCATTTGAAAAACATTGGTCAAGTGAATGAATGGATGTTGAAAAGCATTAAGACATCAAAGTAATTAAACTGATGCTCAGCTAGGCATCCCAGTGTGTCACCCCGTGGTTCTCCCAAGGGATGCACGCCGACCCGACGAACTGCTCAAGGGAGGACGGGCAGGGAAGCCCGTTTCACTCAATAGGTGTGCTCGTCCGGTGCTGGGGCCACAGACGCCCCTCCCACCCACCAGCTCCGCACGCTCTGCCGGATGGAGAACTGTTACGGCTCTGCTTCTTGGTTCGCACGGGTCACGGTCTGTGGCCTGAGGCTTCACTCCCAGCTGAAGAAATCCAAGGACACGTGGCAGGAGAAGGTTCCTGTCTGCTCCCCACCTGCCATGTGAAAAGGTCAGGCCTGCCTATGACAACAGTGATAGGAATAATCTCCGCACGGAAGGTTTTCGTGGTCTCTTTGTTGCCAAGGTTACCGGGGCTATTAGGTAAGCTTGCTCTGTGCTTTGAACTTGTCAATCTGGAGACTCTATGAAGGTCCGGCTGGAAGTTACATCTATTACTCAGCAGCATCCTTTCAAACCTCCCTCCATTCAAAAGGAAATCCACACTGCATGGGTTCCGGGTTTAGTAAGAGATGAGCTTTAGAATACAACAGAACTGGACAGCTAAGAACACAAGATGAGACAAACCATCCAGATGAAAGAAGATGCCTCGTCGCCCGCGGACCTGATCCTACGGCGCCCCCTTCGCACCCCGTCGTGGGCTAACCATCCATTCCCTGACTAGTTTAGATTTTCTGGTGTTTTACTATGCACTTCCTCTTTTGATTCCCAGGGTGACAGCAACTGGTCTGTCACCCAAACGCCCCTGTCGCAGCGCTGGTCAGGGCCAGCATGCCGCAGTGATCTTGGAAAGCTGGGGGACTTGGGGACCAGGCTAGGCCTTACTCCACCTAGTGGTTAGCAGCGCTCACCTCATTTCACCTTCCTGCTTCTCCATTTCTTCATCTGCAAAACCATAACTGAGTCTGATGAGTGTCTGCGCCCCCTCTCCACCCTGATATCTGAGTTTTGCATCACTTCAACCTCAGGTACGTGCGTGATGCAGTGGCTGGAACCTGCCAGATCTTGCCCTCCAATGCTCTGTCTAGACAGGAAACGTAGAGGTGACCAGTCCAAGGCAGAACCAGACCAATGAACCGTATTTCGGTCTGAGAAATTGGGGTCAGAAATGAGGAAGGGGGCTAATCATGCCTGGTTCCAGTACCTTGAATATATATAATCATATCTTTATTGTCCATATGATGGGAAAGAAGGGCAAACACTGAAAATTCGAAGCAACAGCTAATCAGAAGTGGTTCTAATTGAATATTAGTGGACACAGCATCGTTTTGGAAAGATTTCCTCTCCTAAGGTATCATTAAATGTGTCAGAATAATTTTATTTTAAGTAGCATCTGACTTCTTAAGATAAATCTATTTTCCTTTACAAATACTGTGTCCCTTCGACACAGCAGAGAAAAACCTACCTGGAATTAACCTTTTGTTGAGATATTTGAGTGATCGTTATCTGAGGTACAGTGTGAACATTACATAGGAATAGTGTCAGGGAACCCACCAGCCTCCTTAACGAAGGCCCACCCTGGTCGCCCAAAGTTGACAATGTGGAGAGAGGTCCTGTCTCCAGCTGTTGTTCCCTGAGGCCCTCAGGGAAATGGCAGCAATTAATTATCAATAAATTCCCAAAGGGAACTTCCCTTGGCAGAGTAGGAGGTCAAGATGCCCTTCCCCAATCCTTTTCCTTCTCCCAACCTCGAAAGGTTGCAGTTTGATTTCATTAGCCTCTCACGGGTTTTCTTGCACAGAGTAGGGAGTTTGCCTCCTTCATCGGCTGCAAATCACTCCCACACTTTATGGCCTCTCTTTTCTCTCTGTGCGTTACCAAGACATGAAAGGCATGTTTCAGTAGACACCCGGAGGAAGCGACTGGCCCAGAGTCACATGCCAAGAAATAGGATCAGAAATCAAAAGTCCTTTGTGCGCCAGCTTGTGTGATGTTCCCCGGGTCACCCTTTCAATCTGCCTCTTGATCCTCCCACTCTGCTTGCCCACGGCCTGATCACCAGTTCCAATTTACCTTCAGATCATCAGGGATGAAGACTTTCCGAGCTTTCTTAATCATGGGCTGCGGCTTCAGTTCCTCCTCGGAGAACTTGTGTTTGCGAGGGTCGAACATTTCCTGACCAGGGATGCTGGAGAGGACGAGGTCTGCCGGGTCCGGCTCATAGCCCACCGGGACCTGGATGGTGTCGGGATCGATGGGGCTCGGCGTATTGCGGTTTGCGGGCAACAGCTGACCTGGAACAACACAGGAGTTTCAAGTCATCAACATCCTAGGGAGACCCCGTAGACACAACTTGGTGACGGACGCTCCAAGATGAGTGATAAGTCTTCACGTTACTTATTTCTGACCCTGACATTGTTTATCTTACTCATCTTCACCATGTCCCCAATTACACAGGTGCCTGAGCACGCCTTCACGGCGATCAGGCACAACCAAGACCCACACACACACACGTAGTCGCAAACAATTTAAAAAGCACCTGCGCTCATTCTTCCCTGCGGCACATTCATGGAGCACCAGGCCATGAGCTAGGCACTGTGCAAGGTGCAACGGGTAGAAACACATGCCTGTTACCTTCCAGGGGTTTTCCAGGGAAGTCAGGGAACCAGGACAATGATTAGCCAGTGAAGATGTGGTGCAGGCGCCCGGATGGACCACAGGTGCTTTGGGAGTGTGGGGAGCCGTAGGTGACACAGATGGGGGTAGGGAACATTTCCTAGAGATGACGCCTGGGGTAACTGCATCTTGAGACAGACAGTCATTAGCCAAACCAGGTCATCTGGGCACAGATACGCAGCAGAAGGCTGTGATTTTGAGGAACCATAAGCAGTCTCGGTGGCTGTGGTGCTGAATGGGGGGGGGAGGGGGGCAGGTCTAAGTGCAGGAAATGCCATGAGGAAGGTGGGCAGGGGGATGGGATAAAAGGCCCTGAGCTGACCTCAGCGAAGGATCTGGGTGCTGAGGTGGGAGGTCTGGAGGGGAGACCCAGGCAGCGTGAGAAAGGACTGGGGGGCAGGGCTGGGTGCGGGAGGCCCACTCCGGGCAGTGAGGGTAACCCACCCACGCAGGACGGTGGGCAGTAGGGACAGTGAGAAGGGGACGGCCCGAGAAATATTTAACAAACTAGAAAGGGCACAATGGAGACAATCTCACTTTGGCCTGGGGGTCCCACAGGCTAAAACAAACCACGGAGATTCACGAATGACCCGGGACCTGGGGTTTGCTGAGGTCCCTGACCTGTCCTAGTGCTGAAGGTGAACTTCAGTAACAGACCACACTGCTTCTGGGGGAGCTCGGGATCTCCACTTCCAGTTTCCCCTGAAGTTTTCGCGCGCTCCTTTCCCGCCCGGAGAATAAATGCGTGGGTGCAGCTCGGACAGCCGTCTCCTGTCTCCTCCTCTTCCTCACTGCCAGGGTCTGACGGCCAGTGCATCCCGCAGATCTCATTAAAACCCGCCCTGGCGGAAGCCCGAAGCCACGGGCTGGCGTTCTAGCTGCGCCGTGCAACCCGGCTGGCGTGATTTCTGGAAAGGCCTGGTGGGGAGCTTGCAAAATGAATGTTCCGGGCGACCTTTTTGGTCCCCACTCTGCTTTGAGCTCTCTTTGTCTCCTGCTTGCCAGAGAGGAGGAGAAGGGCCCGAGGACGGCGCTTTCTCATTAGCCAGCCGCTCAGCTCCGGCTTCTGGAGACTGCTGAGCTCTGTACTGGACGGCGCCGCCCGATTTGATCTGTGCCTCCTGACATTGCCTCAGAAAATGAACCCTGTCTGAGCCGAATGGGGATTTCATTTTCCCTTTAGGATTTCTCTCTGAACTCATCACAAAGCTATGGTGCCCCATCTCCACAAGCAGGGCTCCACCCACACACACTCTCTCAGGGGCCCCCTACCCCTGGAAGCTTCTCCCTTAGTATGTCCTCAAGCTAACTGCTCCAAGTCACTTCACTTCCTCCTTCGGTGTCCTGCTCGTTATGCTACCTTAACAAAACGAAAGTGCTCTCCCTGATGGCTGCAGGAATGCTAATTTTTACGCACACACCCTCCCCTGGCAGACACCAAGGTCTTTGTGTTTGTGTTTTATCTGGTTTATCCCCAGCCCTCACCACGGCGCCTGCATTAGAGTTCAGCTGCTACAGAAAGTACTGCTCATTTGTCGGTGGCCCCTTGCGACGCGGGCTCTGACATCCGTGGGCCTTCTAACAGTAACACCCCCGTGTGGGCAGAACCGTCCCCCATTCTCTTTCCAGCCCTGTCTTCCAATGGAAGTAGGTCAGCCCTGCTGGCAGAACGGGGAAAACCTAACTGGACCCCAGACAAGGGCAATGGCTTCCCCAGGGTCAAACCCCTTCCAAAGGAGCCAAGATAAGTACCCCCGGGCCCCACTTCTCCCCAAAGCTGCCCTCGCGCCATCTTGGTTGACTGCATTTTCTACTGAATCAGCTTGGCCGGACTCATTCCCCCCCTTTACTCCAAAATGTCAAGTGTCACTGGGTCACAGGGAGGAGGACTTTACTTTCCGTCCTACCTTCTGTGGATTTGCACAACTGTAATGTAAACATTTTCAATTGAAGAATGCATCATGCCCTGGCCAGTTTGGCTCAGCGGTTAGAGCGTCGGCCTGCGGTCCGGAGAGACCCAGGTTCGGTTCCCGCTAAGGGCACGTACTTCGGTTGCAGTGTGTCCCCGGCCCTGGTTGGTCGTGCGGGTGGCAGCCACTCGATGTGTCCCTTCACGTTGATGTTTCTCTCTCTCTCTCCCTTCCTCTCTCTCCCTCCCACTCTATCTGTACAAAAAATGGAAAAATATCCTCGGGTGAGGATAAAAAAATTTAAAAAAAAAAAGAATGCATCATTACAGAGCTTTTTAAAAATGACCAAAATTTTAACAAATGCAGAAATGTATCGGCAAGTCATCCTCTCCCTTGCCTCCAATCCAGCTTGTTGCCTTTGGGGAGGTGGTCCCCCTTCACTGCTTGTGTGAGCCCTTCAAACCTTGGCTTTCACACATACGTGATTTAACTACCTGTACACCTTAAATAACTTTTCAACATACCATGCACGATTTCTCATGTCCGTGTGAACAGAACTACTTCGTTCCTTTCAAAGATTTACTAGTAGCGACCTAATCATTCTCCAGCTGGGGGAGCATTTGTAGGTACGCGAGTGTTTTTGTAGGAAAGAGCCCAGGAAATGGCACTGCTCAGGAAAGGCAGGTCCATTTGCTATTTCTAGACGTACTGCCAAACTGTCCTGCCTGGTCACACCTGCACCAACGTTTGTGAGAACGCATTTTCTCACAATTAAATATTCATTGTTTAAATGTTTCCCGTCTGATACACACAATTATCTCCATTGTTTTCATTTGCATTTTGCACCCTGGCTGGTTTGGCTCAGTGATTAGAGCGTCGGCCCATGGACCAGAGTCATGGGTTCGATTCCGGTCAAGGGCATGTACTTCGGTTGCAGTTTGTCCCCAGCCCTGGTCAGGGTTGTGCAAGAGACAACTGGTCGATGTGTCTCTCTCACATCAATGTCTCTCTCTCTGTTTCTCTGTCTCTGTTTCTACCCCTCCCTCCCACTCTATCTGAAAATAAATGAAAAAAATATCCTCGGGTGAGGATTTAAAAATTTTTTTAAAATAATTTGCTTGTTCCTAGTGAGACAAAACATCTCACATATTTATTGGGTATTTACTTCTCTTGTATACCACCTCTTCATATCTTTTGCCTCTTTTTAGAAGAGATTTTGTTGCTTATTCACTTGTAAGAACTCTTTATAAACTGGATTTAATCCTTCCATCTGTTTTAACTACAGAAAATATTTTCTCCCAGATTGTTGTTTGTTTTTTAACTTTGCTTATAAAGTTTTCCACTGTTGCCGAGATCTTACATTGTAATGTAGTCATATCTTGAGATCGTCGTATGGCTTCTAACCTTCATACCTTCTCTACCCCAAAATTATATGACATACACACATATGTATATATACATGTATATACATATGCATGTGTTTCTCTAATACAAATACAATTGATTTATATTTTCAGAAGTTTGTGTGGCCTAGAATTTATTTTTGTGTATAGTATAAGCACGGGTCTTTCATTAATGCTTTCCAAATGTCTTAATATAAATGGATCAGTAAAGTCTGATATTTGACTGGGCAAGTTCTACCTACCCCCACATCATTGTTCATTTTAGAAAATTTTCTTTGATATTCTTATACTCTTTTTTTTTTTAATTCTCACCTGAGAATATTTTTCTATTTATCTTCAGATAGAGAAAGAGGAGGGGGAGAGAGAGGGAAGGAAGGAGAGAGAAACATCGATGTAAGAAAGATACATTGACTGGTTGCCTCCCACACGACCCCGACCAGGGCCGGGGATGAACCACAACCAAGGTATGTGCCCTTGACTAGAATTGAACCCGTGACTCTTTGGTCTGCGGGCCGCCGCTCTATCCACTGAGCCAAACCGGCCATGGCTATTCTTATACTCTTCTAGATGAATTTCAGAATATATTTATTAAATCATGTTTAATGTTATTGGGATTTCTGAATGAAGATTACATGAAAACCATAGGTTAATTTGGGGACAACAGAAATCTTAAAAATATTGAGTATACCCAGAGTCTATTTCTCCATTTTTATTTTTTTGGTCTTTTTCTTATATCAAGCAGTTAAGTCTTATAGTTTTCTTCATTTTAGTTTTCACATGTTTTTGTTGTCTATCCCTTAAATGCTTTATAGTTGTTCCCTGTGTACGTTTTCCCCATTATACCTTCTAACTGGTTACTGCTGTCTTGAAAATGCTGTGTTTTATCCAGCCTCTTTACTCTTACTAGTTCCAACAGTTCTAACATTTCTAGCTTCTTAGTTTTCTAGGTAAACAATCTTATCTTCTGCCTCTAGAGACAGTTGTTGCTTCATTTTAATGTTTATAATTCCTGCTTTAAAATAAAAGTCTGACTGCATTAGCTGGACTGCGCCAATGAGGAGTGAAAGGGACGAGAGTGAGATCCCTCCTGTCCCCGACTTGAACGGAGGGAGCCCATGACGCGGCTTCCCCTTCGACGGGAAGGCTTGTTCTAGAATCCTCGGAGACACGGTTCGACAAGGTGAGGCGATTTCAGCCTTCCCAGCCCTATTCTACTGAGTTTGGGTTTTGTTTTTGTTTTTTATAAGAAATGATGTATTAAGTTTCCTCAAATGCCTTTTTAGAAACTGTTGAGATCATCATGTG